TCTCGTGGGAGTAAGATATTTTCTCGCAGTAAAATGTAGCCCATGTTAATCTCCAACATGTAAGCTATCTCTGTGCCAAATTTTATTAAAACCTGTTCAGTGGTTTAGACGTGAAAAGGTGACAGACAGACATAATTACCTTCGAATTTATAATATTAGTATGGCTTAATATGAATTTCTGCTATAAGGGGTACGCGAGTTTGAGCTCTTTCTTAAAGTGGTACGCAGGAAAAACTAATTGGGAACCACTGCTCTACTGTATAACCTCACTGAAACTAAGAAGAAGAATAACTGAAACAATTCATTTAAATATTTATAGCAACAATAAATGATAATATACTATAGATTAAAATTCAAAAAGGATTCTCTCCACTTAAATAAAAACCTTTCAATCTCCAGTGTTATTCTTCTTGGCAAACTCTTGTTATTTTTGACATTAACGTTGACGTTCTAGGATTTGAATCGCATTTATTCGGTTCCTGTTCGATTTTGTACTGTTTGAATTTATTATAACAGTGGCCTGAAGAAGACCCTGGTAGGGTTGAAAACATTTGCCAAGAAGAATAACACTGGAGATTGAAAGGTTTTTTTTTTATTCAAGTGGAGAGAATTATATTACCTCCAGTATTAGAAGTGAAGTTTATTAGTTCAAAAAGGATTTTAGAATTTTAATTGGAAGATTTAAATAATCAATTACCGCATTAATTTATAGCAAAACACAAAGTTTGTCTCACATAGAGCTGTAGTGCAGAAACACTGCATCAATTTCAGGACGATAAGACATTCCTGGACAACATAATATTATCTTCAGTGATGAGTCAACATTTCATTTCAATGGTAAAATGAACAATATCATAAAGTGCTCAGCAAATCAATAAACAGAAATAAAACACCTTTTTGTTTTGAAACAACCTAAAATGAACACTCACAGCTGCAGGATTTAAGGCTTTAAAAATCCACAAACAACTGAATGTTTGTAACAGTCCAAAAGTAAATGTGTTTTAAGTTCTTAGCAAAGATAAAATGGATGATCCCTTGGTTTTCCATCTATATCATGTATCTGGATACGTTGAAAAATTCTTTCATTCTACAGTTAAATCAGGGGTGCACAACCTGCGGCCCGCGGGCCACATACGGCCCCTTATCAATGTTTATGCGGCCCTCCGGACGGTACAGGCCAAATCCCTTCTTTCCAAGTTTCTAAGTGTAGAACTTTTCCCTTTCACAAAGTCATTAACACTCAACTGTTTTATAAGTTTCCCCAAAGTGAGAAATGGGGAGTTGTTCTATAAATAAGTCTATTTCTAGCTAACACTTTCTGGTTTAGATATCGAATATTTTAAGTCTAATACATAGTATTATAACGATTTTTTGAAGAATCAAATAGAATAAAATGATGTTAGAACGTCATTTCCGATGTTATTAGGAAGTTTCTATTTTGGCGAGAAATCTTCAATTTTATGCTTCGGAAAACTTAAGTGAAAATAGCGCTGAAAAACCATGAAAATAACGAATTTTTAGCATTTGTTTACATTCTAGATTCTGATTGGTATAGTCGAATTTGAATCAATCTTTTCTGAAAAGACGCTTATTCACAGTGGTGATATTCAGCGGGTTCGCACAGGTTCGGCCGAACCTGTTGTTAACATTTTCAAAGTTTTCCGAACCCTTTAAACACACGTAACATTTCTCAGCGGTTTTGTTTCTTTTAAAAAATATATTAAAATATACGTATTATACTCTGTAACACTACTAAACTAGAGCCTTATACCCCGTTCGCTATGTTCCCCTTGTACGCCGTTCGCATATAACCTCCATCGACCGTTTCAATCTCGACTGAAACGAGATTTAGGCTGCGTACACACTAGGCGTTTTTAAACGCGCGTTTTAAAGAACCAAGAGTTCTACTAAAGCGCCCGAAAAACGCGCGTTTTAAGAAAAATCTATAAACACGCGTTTAACGCGTGCTTGGCCAAAAGCGCACGTTTGAGTATGTACGCCTATGTAGAACTCTTGGTTCTTTAAAACGCGCATACACACTAGGCGTTTTTAAACGCCTAGTGTGTGCGCAGCCTTGATCGCGATCGACTCAAGAGAGTTCTTGAAACTAAGTCCAGTCATACGAGGGATCCCACAATCCCATGCGTGTGAGAAAATACAAGATGGCTGCGGAACACGTGTCGGGCTATGGACAGCGAAATAAAAAAGATATTGTATTTCGAGAAACGATGACATCTGTCTATTATTATAATAATACCTAATGATAAAATAAATGAATTAGAAAAATTTTTTCTTGAGAAAAAGTCATAGGGAAAGCAGTTAACTCCTTGGGACTCTAGCAATTTTTGATATTAATGTAATTAAACATAAAAAATACTTAAAACTGAAAAAACTAAAGAAACGCATTAATTCTGAAGAAAAAGCTTCAGATTTTATGTTCCTTTGTCTTGTCTTTCTGTGAAATCTGACGCTGATGAGTCATTGTTTAAACAGCTGGATGACCTTGATCACAGCTGGAGTTGGATTTCCCGGGACGTTCTCATAGAAGTCTCGGGAGGCGATGGGTTTATAGTAGGGTGAATACTANACTTGAGTTCATAGACATCCAGTGCAGTGATGAATTGAAATCACAGTTCAAAAATTCTAATCTCCTCACATTCGACAAAGAACTGCCAGATACATCATTTCCAAAACTGAAAGACAATGCTCGATTTTGTGCAAGCATGTTTGGCAGTACCTATGTATGCAAATAAGCGTTTTCGCTTATGAATTTAAACAAGTGCAAAACACGGAACAGGTTAACCAAAGAGAATTTGGAAAATCTGCTGGTTGTTTCAACATCTGCTATTACACCAGACATCAAGAAGATTACCACCAGCATCCAATCTCAGCCATTGCATTAATCGCTTGGAGGTCTGGGGCCCCCAGTCAGTAAACTTAATCCTAATTTGGCCCTTCTTCACAAAAGGTTGTGCATCCCTGGTTAAATGATGGCATAAAGATGTGTAATTTCAGCAAGACTATTACACAGATGTCTGGGATTTCCTCAATAAACATTTTCCAGGTCAGTCGATTGATCAAATAGAGCCAATAGCAAGACAACCTCGTTTCCCAGATTTGACACCTCTTGAATTTTGCTTCTGGAGTTCATTAAAGATCTAGTGTTTATTTCATATTTATTATTTCATTGCAGCTCAAAATTTAAATTGTCATTACAGTTCAAAAATGATAGAATATGCTGTTTCAAGTTTGGCAAGAAACAAATTTTAGGGGATTTATTCTGTATCACTAATGGCATTCACATCAAATTAAAATAACTGTTTGTGATAAAACTTTCGTGTTTCACTGTAAATTAATGCCTCAACCAGTTCTGATTAAAATTCTATATGCTTTCAAAGTTGTAAAGTCATTTTTGGATCACCCAGTATATTTTTCTAGTTATTAAAATTATAATAAAATGGCAGAATAATTAAATCTCTAGCAAAATTGATTTGTATTTAATTATTTATTAGTTATAAATAGACTGATGGATAATTTAGTAAATTATTTGGCAATATAAATTCTATAATGTATAGAAAAAATTATGTTTTATTTCATTTGAATTTAAAAAAAGCAAATGCTTAGAATAATTATAAAATAAAATTTAATCTAGTTATAGCTATCAATAACATTTGTTAATGTCTTTCTAATATACAGAAATATTAAAGAATTTCAACATAACTAAAGTAATGAAGTAAAACTATATTCAATCAGTTTTTGTTAAGACAATAAAAAATACTTGCATAAAAATTATTAAAAATTGTTGTTATATTTTTTACATAAGTTATGCTTACATAAGTAGGAAAAATATTCTTCAGAAGATCAAAATGTTAAAAACTGTTAGATAATTAAATAATATTCTAAAAAAATTATATATATAAAGCTGATGTATAAGAGAGAACCAGGAGAAAAAATTTAGAAAAAATAGAAAAATAAAAGAATAACTTATAGAATAAAATCAGTATTTTATGAGTTTTTTCTTTTACTAAATTTTAAAATGTTTATATCTCAAAAATTTCGCAATATTGAAAATTGTCAAATAATCTTATTTTGACTAGAAAGCATGACAACTACCAAAACATTTGTACTATACTGTAATATATTTTATTAAAATTCAAATTATAGAATTCAAAAATATAAATTTTAAGACCGAAATTAATTTATTTTATTTACAGTTTAAATGTTTTTGACAACCGAAGAATCAACAAACGGCAACTTATTCAAACGTTTAAAACAACCGACAGTAAATCAAGAAGCAAGAGTTCTTAATGCAAATAAAATAAATTTCTATACACAACTAATTTCTTTAGTAATATAATTGAAACAAATCATCGGAATTTTTTAATAACGGGAAATAGAATCATCATCGACAAGCTCAATCACAAAACACATACCAATAAATTACAGGAAGTAGTTCGGAAAGCATTTCAAATACAATTCCTTAACCATTTAAAAGAAAAAAACTTCAGAAAAGCTCTAACACCGGCAGTTTAAACAGTTTATTTTGCAACTTAATTCCAAAGCTTAAAGACACACCGAGGCCGACAAGAGGGAAGCGAGCCGGGACTCGTCCCCCGTCCGGAGAAAACTCGGAAACCATTACGGCGGGCCCCACCTCTATAAAACTAATGTCGGTTTCACCAATAAAACCCAAAATCTTTAAGATCGCTTTTTATACGGCCGGTCCCTTTAGCCGTTTATCCATTCTACTCGTTCGAATAAACAAGCGGCCAAAGGGACCGGCCGTACTTCCAAGCCTCGCACGAGCCCCGGGTCCGGCCAATATCCGAAGTAGTAGTTTTTATTCGACTCTTAAATTTCCAGCTTCAAGAACATTTAACAAGGATTTAATAAAAAGACAACTTACTTCAAGAGCATTTTTAAACAAAAAGTTATTGTGTGTATGTGTTATTTTGTGAAAAACTCAGTGAATATGTAATTTTTGTTATAAAAATCCTTACCTTTTGCAAAGCTGATACAAGTAAACCTTTCCATTTAGCTGCATTTTCTTCATTTTCGAAGTCATAAAACTGATGATCGGTATCTCGACTTGACGTACCAAACATTTCCAAAAACAAACCTGCAACTTTTTTCAACTCCATTTGATGTGAAAGTGGAAGACGCCCCTCCAGATGTCCAACTTGAGTTCATAGACATCCAGTGCAGTGATGAATTGAAATCACAGTTCAAAAATTCTAATCTCCTCACATTCGACAAAGAACTGCCAGATACATCATTTCCAAAACTGAAAGACAATGCTCGATTTTGTGCAAGCATGTTTGGCAGTACCTATGTATGCAAATAAGCGTTTTCGCTTATGAATTTAAACAAGTGCAAAACACGGAACAGGTTAACCAAAGAGAATTTGGAAAATCTGCTGGTTGTTTCAACATCTGCTATTACACCAGACATCAAGAAGATTACCACCAGCATCCAATCTCAGCCATTGCATTAATCGCTTGGAGGTCTGGGGCCCCCAGTCAGTAAACTTAATCCTAATTTGGCCCTTCTTCACAAAAGGTTGTGCATCCCTGGTTAAATGATGGCATAAAGATGTGTAATTTCAGCAAGACTATTACACAGATGTCTGGGATTTCCTCAATAAACATTTTCCAGGTCAGTCGATTGATCAAATAGAGCCAATAGCAAGACAACCTCGTTTCCCAGATTTGACACCTCTTGAATTTTGCTTCTGGAGTTCATTAAAGATCTAGTGTTTATTTCATATTTATTATTTCATTGCAGCTCAAAATTTAAATTGTCATTACAGTTCAAAAATGATAGAATATGCTGTTTCAAGTTTGGCAAGAAACAAATTTTAGGGGATTTATTCTGTATCACTAATGGCATTCACATCAAATTAAAATAACTGTTTGTGATAAAACTTTCGTGTTTCACTGTAAATTAATGCCTCAACCAGTTCTGATTAAAATTCTATATGCTTTCAAAGTTGTAAAGTCATTTTTGGATCACCCAGTATATTTTTCTAGTTATTAAAATTATAATAAAATGGCAGAATAATTAAATCTCTAGCAAAATTGATTTGTATTTAATTATTTATTAGTTATAAATAGACTGATGGATAATTTAGTAAATTATTTGGCAATATAAATTCTATAATGTATAGAAAAAATTATGTTTTATTTCATTTGAATTTAAAAAAAGCAAATGCTTAGAATAATTATAAAATAAAATTTAATCTAGTTATAGCTATCAATAACATTTGTTAATGTCTTTCTAATATACAGAAATATTAAAGAATTTCAACATAACTAAAGTAATGAAGTAAAACTATATTCAATCAGTTTTTGTTAAGACAATAAAAAATACTTGCATAAAAATTATTAAAAATTGTTGTTATATTTTTTACATAAGTTATGCTTACATAAGTAGGAAAAATATTCTTCAGAAGATCAAAATGTTAAAAACTGTTAGATAATTAAATAATATTCTAAAAAAATTATATATATAAAGCTGATGTATAAGAGAGAACCAGGAGAAAAAATTTAGAAAAAATAGAAAAATAAAAGAATAACTTATAGAATAAAATCAGTATTTTATGAGTTTTTTCTTTTACTAAATTTTAAAATGTTTATATCTCAAAAATTTCGCAATATTGAAAATTGTCAAATAATCTTATTTTGACTAGAAAGCATGACAACTACCAAAACATTTGTACTATACTGTAATATATTTTATTAAAATTCAAATTATAGAATTCAAAAATATAAATTTTAAGACCGAAATTAATTTATTTTATTTACAGTTTAAATGTTTTTGACAACCGAAGAATCAACAAACGGCAACTTATTCAAACGTTTAAAACAACCGACAGTAAATCAAGAAGCAAGAGTTCTTAATGCAAATAAAATAAATTTCTATACACAACTAATTTCTTTAGTAATATAATTGAAACAAATCATCGGAATTTTTTAATAACGGGAAATAGAATCATCATCGACAAGCTCAATCACAAAACACATACCAATAAATTACAGGAAGTAGTTCGGAAAGCATTTCAAATACAATTCCTTAACCATTTAAAAGAAAAAAACTTCAGAAAAGCTCTAACACCGGCAGTTTAAACAGTTTATTTTGCAACTTAATTCCAAAGCTTAAAGACACACCGAGGCCGACAAGAGGGAAGCGAGCCGGGACTCGTCCCCCGTCCGGAGAAAACTCGGAAACCATTACGGCGGGCCCCACCTCTATAAAACTAATGTCGGTTTCACCAATAAAACCCAAAATCTTTAAGATCGCTTTTTATACGGCCGGTCCCTTTAGCCGTTTATCCATTCTACTCGTTCGAATAAACAAGCGGCCAAAGGGACCGGCCGTACTTCCAAGCCTCGCACGAGCCCCGGGTCCGGCCAATATCCGAAGTAGTAGTTTTTATTCGACTCTTAAATTTCCAGCTTCAAGAACATTTAACAAGGATTTAATAAAAAGACAACTTACTTCAAGAGCATTTTTAAACAAAAAGTTATTGTGTGTATGTGTTATTTTGTGAAAAACTCAGTGAATATGTAATTTTTGTTATAAAAATCCTTACCTTTTGCAAAGCTGATACAAGTAAACCTTTCCATTTAGCTGCATTTTCTTCATTTTCGAAGTCATAAAACTGATGATCGGTATCTCGACTTGACGTACCAAACATTTCCAAAAACAAAAATCAAAGACAGAACTATATATATCTATATATAATATATATAGGGCCCTATATTATACACTTGATTTGCACTTAAGAGGATTAAGTCTGATATTTATCGACATCTTTGCACTTATTCGTATCATGGTCGGGCCACATTTATTCTTTATCGATCTGTGTATTAGATCAAAACCCAGTTTTTTTTATCTTCTGCTTTAATCCGTAGGACTAATATTAGGCTTAAATCTTGACGTTGATTTTTTTTACTTTTGACATCTCTTACCTAAGCCAAATGCCGTAGGATAATCCTACGTTATCGATACGAATATAATATAATTATTAATATTCTGTCTTCCATTAAGGATCGCCAACTTTCTCAAACTCTATAATTGAAAGCTAAAGTCGACTCTTCAAACAACACCCACAGTAAGCAAGCGCAGTGACCAGTTTTTTTTTACTAAAATCGACGTCAGGTGGCGTCCGAGTCCTTCGTTGGATGTCGATGGTTACTTCGATTTTTTTTTTACTTTCCCTCTGTTGTATTTAGCAATATATAACGGAGGGAAAGTATGGCCGTGGGTCAAAAAATAACCCCTCCAAGATTTTTACATTTTTACACTTAAGACACCATGAAATGTCGAGAAATGCAAAAAAAAAAAAAAAAAACTCAAAAAAAAACTCGGGGTAATTTCTGTTTGAAGTTTAATAACTCCCGTGCTTTTTGTCGAAAATTTCTGAAGTTTTGCCGGGAGGTTTGTGTATTAGGGGGATCGATGATATTACATTTTGGTGGTTAACCTTGTGACCCAGATCATATTTTTGTTTATATTACGAACAAATATTAAATTTGGAATTTGAATTTTTTTTACTTTTATCCCCTACGGTTTGTGAATATTTTGGAGTATATTTCACAAAAATATACTTTTGAAGGTTTACTTTACATAAGATGTAAAGTTTGTCAGAATGGTTTTCTTTTCATCTAATTTGAGTTTATAAAAATGCTTAATCTGAGTTCCTGTTTGCAGTTTGTGTAATGTAAAAGTGCGTGCAAATATAGAAAACTAAATATAGTCTTATTTTAATAAATATCACCAAATTTCTTCTCTAATTTTGCATTTCGAAATTAAATAATTTTATCCTCGTACTTTATTATACGAACCGTTGACAAAGCTTTTTATTTTGAAACCTATTTAGTTAAAGCCTTGTGTGTCAAGAGTAACTTCTAAATGAAAAAATATTCACCACTTACTCAGACTCAGCCTCTTAAGCAATATACTAGATACATCCAACATACCTTATTGCTGAGAAACATATATTTATTACACAAAACTAACGTTTTCGGCCCAATTTATGGGCCATCTTCAGGTTACCGTTGTTCGACTCTAATATAACATCGAACACGTTGAAAATTAAACCAAATTAGAACATACGTTTAAATTAAACTAATAGAATAAGCATAACCAAAATAAAACAATAAATAATAAAAAACCAAAATAACACAAAAAAATGAAAATAAAATACGGTGATTGGCCGCAAACACTAAGAAACAATAACTTATACATTAACCCAGATATCTATTGAGTCACGGCAGACGCATTATTACGCGTGTTACTTCTTATGTATTTCCAGGATGATGGTAATACCGTCGCATCCTTATAATTTAAACATCTGTCAGCCAAACTCGCTCTGTAAATTTCGCATTTCTCAGTTATGGATGACAACGTTGGCGAGCGTACTTTTGCAAGAATTTTGGCATCCTTCCATTTAACAACAGAACCATCCGCTTGCGCCATTTTGGATAATGCTGTTGTACACTTGTTTTTTGCGACATCGTATCGGTGCTCCTTAATCCTCACCCCAAGGTTTCTATTAGTGACCCCAACGTAGTCCTTAACGATTCCCAACTGGTCACTTTTGTAGGGAATTGCATATACTCCTGCCTGTTCATTATCATCAATTTTTTCTTTGTCATTTCTAATCAACCTATACACTGTGGGGGCCCTTTTACATATTATACTGGCGTTTTTGTGTCTCGCTATTTGCTTCATAATCGGGAAGAGACATTTATTATACGTAAACTTTGCGAAGTTACCCCCAGCCTCCGGTTTCTTCTTAGAGCTGCTCCTAGGTTTTACGTACGCTTCTATTAAACGCTCTATAGATCTTGTTCCAAACCCTAACTCTTTTGCAACTTTTTTGATCCTACACAGCTCATTCATCGTGTCCATTACATTTGAGCAATAGAGAAACGCTCTTCTGATTAGCGCCCTAAATGCGGATAGTTTATAAACCGTTGGGTCATTAGAATTTGCCGGAATATACATCGGATCATGCGTGGGCTTGATGTAGACCTTCGTGCATAAAGTTCCATTCTTAAATTCAATGCTAACGTCCAAGAAGTGTAGTTCCTTGTTACTAATTTGCTCCAGGTTAAGTTTTAAGCCATGTTGGTTAGAGTTCACTTGGTCCAAGAATCGTTTTATCATTGCGCCTGGAGCAAATTAGTAAAATTTGCTCCAGGCGCAGTAAAATCATTGCGCCTGGAGCAAAAATTTACCGGTACGTTTTTACGATAGTTCTGTATATTTGACGGGAGTAAAAAAAATCCATTAAAATATTTGATATATTTATTCCGCTCTCCGATTTTATATTACTCACGGATTTCGATGTTAAACCGGCGATTTCGTATATCCCATCTTTAAGGGAATGTAGAAAAAAACGTGTACAATTCTTGTACAATGTTAAAAAATTAACCGTTACTTCGACAGCGTCATTTACAACTAAATTTAACGAACGAGAGAGACGCGCGAGGTACAGGAAAAGCTCTAGAATTTATTTTCCTTAAATTTACGATTTACGTATCCGTTTGTCGTAAAAATTTATCTTTCCACTTTTTTCCCGAGACTACGAATATTCGAGTACAAAGTAACCGGTTTCGACTTACTTCTACTTAAGAAGTAGTTAAATAATTAAGCGATTAGAGAATTGGGGACGTAAACGAAACCCGGACGAAAGAGCCGAAATTTTACTTAAATAAAAGCTTAACCCGACCCGTCTCTAGCCGAGTACGGTGGAGACCGATTTCTTCGTATTATTAATGTAATAAAGACAGAAATTTTTCCAGTTCGACGAGAGTGACCGAAAAGTTGTAAATTTTGGAAATTTCTGAGGGCACTTGGTACTAAAACGAATTAGTTAGAAAACAAACGACTATTAAGTTTAGCAAATTTAGCTATGGTGAGAAACGTTTTAAAATCTACAACAGCCCCGTCGCGTCCTTTGGGATATACTAGTGATGCGACAAAAGAGATATTTGACATTGACCGGTATCGGCACCCGGGGATTTGGCAGTCGCACGCACTGCAACCGTCTCTGATTCCATTCATTAGCCACTCGTAGGGAGTTATTTGACTAAGCGCGTTGTTGTAAGATTTAAAAAGTAAAGAATATTTTATATTTTTATGTACGTTTCTTTACAAAGCTATATTTAATTATAATCTCTTTTAAAAGTATATTCGCACAATTGAAGAATATTTTGTACCGGGTATGTACCGATACGTCCACCACACATTTTATTTCACCGAGTAAGTTTTTATTATTTTATTTTTAATTGTAGCCCTTATATCGTGGCTAGCGATTCGGAATGTAATTGTGATATTAAAAATGCATTTAGAGAAGTGTACGGTTTTTACTGGCTTATCAAATAAACGATACGAATGGACCCTAGATCGTCACTGACGCGCGATTGACCGATTGCCCCCGGATGTCGACTTCTTACAGAAACACAGCTTCCCTATCATCAAATCTCACGGCACGCCACTGGTAGAAGCCCTTCTTAAGGTTAAGCCTTAATGCTTTTTCCCTCTCCCCTCGCGGAGGAATTTTCGAAAAATCCCTTCTTAGTGTGCGTTTTCATGACGTACCCTGTGTACCAAATTTCGTTTTGGCCGATCTTTCTTCTTTTTTCCTCTCTTCTTACTTAATTTTCTCTTAGATGTTTTACACACACAACAACGGAGAGTTTCCTTGAAATACTTCTACCCTTTGATCTAGGTCGATTTTTCTTTTTCAAATCTCTACGTTTGACTACGATGCAAAATTTTACTTCCTTAATTAATTAACATTTTTTGTTTTATGTTCTTATTCTCTGTGTCATTCGGTTTCCCCTTTCTTATCGCTTTTGTCTGTTTTCGCTTCCTTCGTAGATTTAATTTCGTTTTTTTCGGTTTTATTTTCATCTTTTCCTTTTTCGCCTTCCGTCTTCCTTTGTTTCGTCTCCTTTTGCTCTCCGTAACGTAACAGTCAGAAGAGTGCTTTCTTTTTCTATTTTTGCCCATAATCTCAATTTATTTTTAACAGAATTATTTAGTGAAAATTATTCGAAAACGATTTTAAAATCGACTTTTGCACGATTTCAATCGAGAATGATCTGGAACTCCGAGTTTGAATTCACAGGAATTTTCGATTTCAATATTTAAATTTGAAAAATATTTTATTGCGTTTTGATTTTAATAAATAGATATTTTATGATAAACTCGTATAAAATTGAATGCAATATTTTTAATTAAAAGATGATTCGAAAGTTTCTCGTTTCCGGAATTTCAGTAATTTAAAATAAGGCGGATGAAATTAATAAGAATCTTCTAAAATATACAGATGGCACGATTCGGATATAAAGCCATTGAATTTCATTTAATCAACCGTAAATTGCCAGAATTATTTTAAAAAATAAAATGTAACCGCGAAGAGTTTTAAATTATATTGACAAAAATAATTTCATTGGAAATTTTTCAAATGTTTTTATATTATTGAGAAATCTTTTAATTCTTCCCGTGTTCGTTGTTAGTGGAGAACAATCTTTTTCAAAATTAAAATAGATTAAAAATTAGGAAAACCGCGCAAAATTGTTGTGTCGAACTTATCGTACAGGCAAAGAGAATAGAGTTTATTATTTAGCACACGTTATTTCTGTACAAAGTGTGAAAATGCTATTTGGGGACTATTTGCCCCTGTTCGGTTTTCTTTTTTGTAAAATTATAATGGGTTATAAGTACCTGGGTACCTATAATGGATTATGGGTAAAGTTAAAGATAAAACTTGCTAATATTGTAGAAATATTACGAAAAATACTAAACTGTGAAATGAAGAAAACCAACCAAAAGATTTACCCCTATCCACCCTCCAGTTTTGTTACCTTAGCATAACGTATGGCTGTTAAACGGAACGTCAAGCGGCGCAGTGGGTAACGAAGAAGGGGGGAATGGAAGGGAAGAACCGAGATAGAATAACATAGAGTGCTAAACCGGTTACTACTGCTGAGGCGAATTGAAATGCGGCACCCATGACAGTTAAAGTTGATTCCATCTATTGACTAAATTTATGTTAATGATAACTGAAGATATTTTGCAATTTAGACAAAATCAATGATGTTGATTTTTACATATACAATGTATCGAAATATATTGTGTAAAATTTATCATAATTCTATTATATTATT